TATGATTCTATGATTCTATGACTGTGTTTTTTAAAGTTATTTATCGAAGCAAATCCTTTTAAATTGTCTAATCAGGGATACATTTGTTTAGAGGGTGTTAAGTCAATAATTTGTTTTCTTCCATAGGATGATTTGCTCATTTTTTTGTGGCTCTGTGGGAGAGGGAGGAGAAATGGAATCAGGTGCTGCTACTGGAGCAGAAAAATGTGCCCTCTGAGTAAATATGGCAAGTAGCAAACTGTCCAGAGGGTTAAAACTGCACCACATCACCATGGAGTGCCTTTGGCAGTGCTTTGTCTGGGAACTGCTAACCTTAAAAATATCCCATCAGAAGATGCATATTCGCACTGTCTGTGCTAGGCATCCAGCTGAGATGCTCAAAATTTCATTGTTCAATGCATCAGCTTCTCTCCATCTAGTCTATGAGAACAATAAGATACCTAGCTGTGGTCCTCTGTATGGCACTGAATTTGGATATCTAAAATGAAGTGAAGAGTGTGAATACCCTATAGACCCCTGTGTAAACAGACTTTCTATTTGATCGTTACAAGGAAGATGATGATTCCCTCATTTCTTTTCTGTCACAGAAAGTTCCATCTCAGACACCACCTATTAAGTGGGTTGAAGGACACAAGGGTGTTTTCAATGTTGAAGTGCAAGCTGTCTCATCTGTTCACACTCAGGTAATGCATCAGAAGCAATACACAGCTGTAGTTTCATTTCAAAGAGAATTCAGATGTCCATGCCAACTTAGGAGATTTATGAAATGGAGATGTTTAAGCCCACGCAGGTTTAAAAACAATTAACAGCTATGGAAGTAACCTGATACCCTCAGTGAATGAAATCCGTTGGCGATATGGAATCTATTGGTACAAGTGAACAAATGGGCACTCTCAGCAGCAAGTCACATCAAGCAATAGGGAGCCTGGTGTCATCTCAGCTCAGCAAGGATCTACTTAGACTACGTTTGAAAGACGCTGACAGTTTCTGCAGTCTGCATCTTCTATTCTGCAAGGCTAGTTCAGACAACATGTCTACATCTGCAGAGACATAGCACCTCCACGCCTGTAGGGACAGGTTGTACTGCCAGAATGCTTTAGTCAGCTCAGCCATCTCTGCCATGTGGTGTGGGGACACAAGCTTAGTGCTGAATGAGAACTCTGCGATTCTGGTCATTTAAATGTGATAGGAAATTGGAGCTTTGCCCGTCTTATTGGGATACTGGTTTGAGGCAGAGCAGCTTTATTTTGCTTCTGCTGCTTTACAGTGTCTCCTACCCATCATCCCATTCTAGTTAACCATGGTAGCTATGTCCTAACACTGGAGGTCCTGTGTCTGAAGCAGGTCCATCACCCCTTTGCAGCATGCTTTTTAAATACAAGTAGGGCATACTCATAAGGCACATAACTTGTAGGTAGCTGGAACTTATGTGTGGATGACAGAGGGACTATAGACCTATGATGTGATGGAGTTTTATCAGAAAGAGTGAACAGTATTTTCATGAAGTGAAGCAATCACTTTAGTGAGGGCTTTAACTTTTCTGCTTTTGATCTGATCTAACCAGAGTCTGAATTTGAGTCAGATGAAAAGGACCAAACAAAAGGCTGCAACAGCTGCCTTACAAATAGATCTCTAGGGCTAGCCACCACTGTAAGCCAGAAGGGTGAAAATATTGTTTCTCATCCCATCAGGTGGGACAATCAGGCTTTGCTTAGCTAGCAGCAGCCTGAACTGTATCAACTTTGTTAACTGTGAGTGCACTGTATTTGCAGGACAATCACCTGGAGAAGTTCTTCACTCTGTGCCATTCTCTGGAAAGTCAAGTGACATTCCCCATTCGACTGATGGACCAGAAGATTACAGAGGCTACACTGGAACATGAATTGAAACTCAGCATTATCTGTTTGAATTCTTCACGCCTTGAACCTCTTGTCTTGTTTTTACATTTGGTACTTGATAAACTTTTCCAGCTGGCTGTACAGCCCATGGTCATAGCTGGCCAGACAGGTATTTACCGGTGCATGGCCTTGGAGAGGTAGTGCAAGGAACCTAGACATGTGGGGGAAATGATTGCTAAATATCCAGGCTCAGATTTAGTATTTGGGGTAGTCCACTTCAGAAAGAGTTGTGCTTCTCAAGACTCAGTTTCACTGCACAGTTTAATCGGTTTTAACTGTGTTCCTGCCTTCTCTCCTTTTCCCCCTACATATAAGACTCTCAGACTCTGCTTGGGAGGTACGTTAAATTGTAGTTGTTTATTTGTCTGGAAATATAGGTCACAAAGTGGGTTGTGGTTTAAATTTGTTCGGAGTTTAGTTGTTTTGCAAGGAAAACACCAGCAAAATCACTTATCCTACAGCTGACATTGCTGACTGCATCATATCCTCTGCCCAAATATCTTTAGACAGAATTGGGTGAGCACAAAAACAGAGAGAGTATAGTAATGGACACAGATTTTTCTGTTACTGAGGCTTCCGGTTGCCCATCACATATGTTAACTCTGGAGGGAAGTCAAACTTGGAGACAGTGGTGTAGTTTATTTCCTATGTCATTTTGGTAATCAATACTTGTCATCCACTATATTTGTGGAAAAGCCTGCTGGCTTATATTTTGTCTGTCAGCTGGAGAATGATGAGTCTTAGTGTTCTTCAGGTAGGTATTTTATAAGAAATGTGTGAAGGCTGCTAGAAATGGTAATTAACAGTTACTGCTTTTATGTACAAAGTGATGGAGTAGCAGTGATTGTGTTGAAAGTCAGTGGGTCTACTGGAGAGTGGTTATTGGCCTATGTCTGGGTCTGGCCAGGTATAGCCGTTGCTGTCTAGAGCTCTGAATTTCTTAAGAACTGAATTAAAGCATGTAGGATTAGTAGTTGTTGATACAAAGAATGCCCTCACCTAATTATATTATGCCTTTCAGTCCTGAGACTAATTCTTGCCTTTGTTTCACAGCCAACTTCTCACAGTTTGCCTTTGAATCTGTGGTTGCAATAGTGAACAGTCTCCACAACAGCAAAGACCTGAGCAAAGACCAGCATGGGAGGAACTGCCTCCTGGCATCTTATGTCTACTATGTATTTCGTCTGCCAGACCCTCAAAGAGAAGTAGTCAAACCAGGTAATATTGGTGCAAGGGTTGCAGAAGTATTCTTTTTTCTTGATACATGCTATTCAGAATGGTGCTTCTGAGAGGAGGACTTAGGGAACTGCCCTATAAAATAGCAAACACAACTTTTCAGACCCCAACTGCATGCCGTTTAAGCACAGCACTGTTCAGATATATCGTTTTTCTCAGTGGAAGGTCAGGGATCTCAGCACTGCAAAGAGCAACATGGACTTGCCCTGCATAATCTCTATGTCTCAGTCATTCATTTAAGATGCAGGGTTGAGGTGAGAGGACTCCACAGCTATAGGCAACACTGTAGCTTCCTGAAGATGAAAGTGCGAGACATCTCCTAAACTGAGGCTTTCTTTAGAGGAATTTCCTCCAGAAATTAAAATAGCCTTATGATGCCAATTTCTTACTGGCCTGTCCATCAGTAAACTACTTTCTGTGCAAACTAACTTACTGCCAAGTGGCATAGGGCCAAGCTCTGACGATTTCTCCATGGCATTAGGGATGTCATCAGAGGAAAAAATCCTGTATGGTGGCCAGCAGTTGAGGAAGGTGATCCTTCTCCTCTACTCAGCACTAGTGAGGCCACACCTGGAGTACTGTGTCCAATTCTGGGCTCCTCAGTACATTAGAGACATGGAGAGAAACCAGCCAAGGCAACGAAGGTGATGAAGGGTCTGGAGCATCTCTCCAATGAGGAAAGTCTGAGAGAGCTAAGACTGTTCAGCCTGGAGAAGAGAAGGCTCAGGGACAATCTTCAATGTCTACAAAGACCTGAAGGAAGGGTGCAAAGAAGACAGAGGCAGGCTGTTTGCAGTACTGCCCAGTGACAGGACCAGAAGCAATGGGCACAAACTGAAACACAGGAGGTTCCCTCTGAACACCAGGAAACACTTTTTGCCTGTGAGGGTGACTGAGCACTGGCACAGGTTGCCCAGAGAGGTGGTGGAATCTCTCACCTTGGAGATATTAGGAAGCTGTCTGGACATGATCCTTGGCAATGGGCTCAAGATGGCCCTGCTTGAGCAGGGGAGTTGGACCAGATGACCTCCAGCCTCAATCATTCTGTTTTTCTGCTGCAGTCCATTGTCCTAAAGCCTATAGGATTCATTTGATCACTTGCTATGTATTAACTGACTTATCACCAAGCAGCTGTGCTCTGGGAGCTAAAGATGTGTGGGCCCTTTTCCCTTTCAAATATTCATTTAAATCCCCCTTGAGGGATATTTAGACTGATGTTAGGATGTGCTGAAATCTCTGATCTTGCCTACCCTTGGAAATTCTTTATCCTGGAAAAATAAGGTCCGTGGGGAAGCTGAAAACTAGGTAATCATTTAGTGGAATTCC